TTGTATTGAAATCCCATGGGTCTTGGTTGACCTTGATATCCTCCCATTGCATTCACATCTTCCGGTTCACTTCCAAGAGTGGGACACTTATCCGTATAATGCCCCGTCATGGCACAAATACCACATACCATCAATTGTTGACCACTTCCCACCACCATTTGACTTAATACATTAGTCAAATCTAAGAGCTTTGATTCCAAGTGTTGAGTGTTGCTAACTTCACCAACCCCTTGTGGAGAATTTCTCTTCATTTCATTTCGAGTCCCAAAGTTCCTTTTATTTTGAGAAATGGTTCCAAAAAGTGATCTTATCTCTTGAGGGGTTTTGTTGAAGATGTCACCACCACTTGAAGCATCAATCATCCTTCGATCTTTTTCATTCATACCCTCATAAAATTGTTGAAGAAGTAGTTGTTCGGGAATGTTGTGTTGAGGACAACTTGTACACAAGTTGTTGAATTGCTCCCAAAAATCATGAAAAGTCTCATTCTCCCCTTGACGAATCCCCAAAATGTCACTTCTTTGGCTTGAAATTCGGGAGGTGGGATAGAACTTGCTATTGAAGGCTTTGAGTAACTCTTCCCATGTGTGAATAGACCCCAGTGGTAAGTTGAATAACCACTCTCTAGCTTTATCTTCCAAGGTGAGCGGGAAGGCGGTTAACTTGAAATCATCCAATGTCACATTTTCGGGCAACATGCTAACACATATCATATGAAAAGACTTCAAATGCTTTTGAGGATCTTCTCTATCCAATCCATGGAACTTGGTAAGTTGATGTATGAAACTTGACTTCAATTCAATTCCTCGGCGGTTTGCGGGATAAACAATAGCAAGAGGTGTATGAGTAACATCCATCTCCATCATTTGTCTAAGTGTCAACTCTTGAGGGGGATTGGGTGGATTGGGGTTATTGGGATATTGTTGCATGTAATTGGGTGGTTGTTGGTAAGGTGTATATGGGTATGGTTGGTGATTGTAGATTGGTGGTGGATAAGGTTGGTAGTTAGGGTATTGGTTGTAAGGAGGTTGTTGTTGTGGGTACATCGGGTTTTGGTACATTGGAGGGTGTTGGTAATTGGGTTGATTTGGGTAATGTACTTGTTGTTGAACTTGAAAAGCATTGGTTTGAGGTTGGTTGTTTTGGTGGAAGTGTTGGTTTTGTAGTTGTGGTGGTTGATAATTGGGTTGGTTTTGAGGAAGGGCTTGATTCCAAGGTGGCATATCAATGAGAGGTTCTTGTTGTTGTTGTCTTGGTTGTTGGGGTGGGGTATTGTTAGCATCTTGATTGTTTGGGTTTGGGTTGGGATTGTGAGCTGGAGTGTGATTCATGGCTATGTAGTTTTCAAACGGAATGTCTTCAAAGGAATGACCAACAATTGGAGAACTCGGCTCGGTGTCGGTATCACTTGAAGTATGAACTTGGTCTTCTATGTTGATTAGTGGAGAAGAGGAAGAAGCTTGAACTAGTTGTTGTTGCTTTGCTTGTTTGGCTAACTTTTTCAACCTTTTTGATTCTTTTTCAATTTCCGGATTGTAGAGTAGTTCACCGGTTCTTGTAGACCTAGGCATAAACAATCAAATAACAATAACCAATTTCCCCGGCAACGGTGCCAAAACTTGGTGGGATGTCAAGTCCCCCAAGCAAATTACACCATTTGTTTGCAAATAAAACGTAATATAATGGTAAAAAGGGGTATCGATCCTCGAGGAAATGGTTGTATTCAATCACCAATGCAATCTAAAAGAACTATTGTAAATAAACTAACTAACTACAATTAAACTAAAAGGGGGGGGGGGGGTGTTATGATTGCTTGAAAATTAAAAGACTTGAATAACTAAAAACTTGCAATTAAGCAAGATAGTGAGATGCTCAAATGTTGGGAACAATTGGTTAACCAAGGCAATTCAACATAATGAACATTTGTGTGTTTATCATTAGGATTCAACATGAAGCTTATCATTCATCCCAAATTGGTTATAGCAATCATGAAGCATGATATGCCAATATTCCTCTTAGGTAGTATGGAGATTGGGGAAGCCCACAACACACCTTCTTAATCAAGATCAAGGGTTTAATTGAAGCAATTGAACCCAAAAAGTTAATTAGCCTTAAGAAAGAAGGAATCCCCAATTCCTAGAGGATGTCAATGCTTACACATCCATAAAGGAGCTATGATTCATAAACTAGAGATGATTTTTACCATCATAAAGCCCTTATTCTAAATTAATTCAATGATTCAATGCAAAACCAAAGAAATAAACTAACAATAGCTCATTCAAGTGCCAAGCTCATGATCAAAGCATTAAACAAGCATAAGAAATATGATCTAGAACCATAAACATACGATAATTGATAATCTAGCATGAATCCTTCAAAAACCCACAAACATTCAAAGGTTTTAACCAAAGTTAACCAATATAGAGAGTTTAGCCACTCATGGCAATAGAACAACAATCACAAAAGTCTAATTACATAAAGAAACTACCAAATAACTTGGAAAGATGAAAAGAAATGGGTTTCTAGCTCCAAAATTGCCTCTTGCAGGTCTCCAATGGTGAAAAATCGAAGTCATGGCTGCTAGATCCGATCCCCCAAGGTTATGGTGTGTCAAATGACCAAAATGCCCAAACTGGGCAGTTGCGCGGGTACCCGAACGACGAAAATTCCACCCGCGCAAATGTTGCTGTAATGCTATTGGTCCTTCATTCCTCCACTCCACCCTTCCACTACCAAAGATTCCTTTGGTCCCCTCCATATCCATGTGATTTAAACCAACCAATCATCTTTTAGCTTCAAGGAATGGATGCTCCAAGCCCAAATTAAAAGTTTATGACCCATCTTTACAAGCCCAAAATATCCAAGTCTTTGACTCTTAAGGCCCAAATCTCCTTTTATGGATCCGCCAAGCCCAACAATGCCTCGAGAGCCCACTAAGCCAGTTTCCAATCAACCCGCGTCCGCAACGAACACCGAAAACCCTGCAAAATACCTCATGCAACATAAAAAGCACCCGATATGATCCATAATAAGGAAAATAAATAAAATACAATGCAATAATGATAAAAAAAGCTAAAAATCTAAAATAAACTAATAAAAATAAGGAAATAAAATAAGCTATCAGTCGTTGGTCTTAGCACTGTCATCCGAGCCGTCAGACTCCTCGTCACTGTCACCATCCCAGAGAAGAGGACCTGTGGGAGAATTTCTTGTGTTTCTTTCTTCGTCCCTTGATCGCCTCATTCAATTCTGAAACGACCTTGGTGAGCACCTGCATCTATGTTGTCACTTCCAAGCAAGGAACCTTAGATGCATTGAGCACCTGGTTGACGGTGCCCTCGAGCGCAGCAAGCCGCTCGACATTGGTGCCCTTACCCATCAGTTTTTCTATCATCATAATTGTTAAGCTCTGATACCAATTAATACGATCCCAGGTACCCCCTGAAGCCTTACCAGTTATTCGAGTAAGTTATTCGAGTTATTCGAGTCACTGGAATACTCCTAAACACTTTTCGGTCTTTTATTAATTTCAAGATAACGAAACAAGATCTTATGGAGCACTATTTATAGTGTCGTGCTAAAATAACAACCAACCTAAACCGACTCCAACAATAATAAAAGATAACAACACTAATCTAAAAGATAATGACTAAATAAAATTCTTAATTATCCTATGCTAAATTAACCCAGCTGCCACGCCTTTGATAAATCGACCAAACCGACCTGCTGGGATCGTATCAAGAACCAACTGTAAACACACCAAAATTTTCCATTTCCCAACTCCATGTATCCTTTTCAAACGACCAGGAAACATGTACCAAATCTATCATCATCCCTTGTAATTGCTCCGTTTCTACTCCCCCTCAAATTACTCTTCCCCATTGAAAATTTCAAAACCGTCCCAAAAATCTCTAACCCCATTTTTGTTCAATGATAAAGCATAAAGTCTATCATTCTTATCCTTGAAAGCTCTTGTGTCTCACCATTTATCCCACCAAAACCGAATATCATACCCATCTCCAAGCTTTCTACGCATAACCGACTCCTCCACCTCACCGGTAATATGCATCTTAGTGATCAAAGTGAGGATATTATTCCAAACTCCACCACCACCCTTCACCACATCATCCCCTTGCGTCCCAAATTGAATCCCGTGAGGTTTTTGGAATTGTGAGGGTCTGCAATCAAGTCCTACAAGAGAGGTTTTTGGAATTGTGAGGGTCTGTGACCATCCTTCCGGTGGATGTTTACGCTGTTTTTTTGTGTGGGTTTACTGGATCGATCATGGCCTACTAGTGAAAGATGAAGAAGATTTTGAGGCTAAAACATAGGAAAATCAAATACACACAAATCGATTTCTGGGGAAGAAGAACAAACCTAAAAAAACCGAAGCTTGTGTGTTTTTTTTTTTTTTTTTTTTGGCTATATGTGTTTATGAAAGATGTGGAAAGAGTGAAGGATTTTTTTCATTTTCATTTTCTTTCTTTTCTAATAAAAACTAAACCAAGAACGTAACCTTTTCATGTCCACTGCGTAGTGTTATGTTAAAAAATTGAATTTATACTTTTTAACATAGCCGACAAAGGATGGATTCTAGATGCAGACATCATAAAAGCAAGCAAATCCTCCGTGTGCTAGTTAGTCAACACTGGATGGCGGCTATTGGGGTCAAACAGCCTTTAAAATGTCGTTCCAACTTCCAATCATTGAGATTTAAAGAAAATATTTATCTTAGAATGTCTAGAACTGTAATTAAATATTCATCTAATCAAGCGATGCATACTGAATCTTCTAAAAAAAATATAATCAAGCTATTTTTGAGAATTTATGATAATATATTTTCATTAATTTTAACTTTGTTTTGGTTAAATAATTATTCATCAACAATTTTTTTTAATATGAATAATTTTATTAGAAAGATAAGTTAGAAAGCTTCGTGCCATATATTGCTTCAAACATGTGAACTGATCAGGAAACTTCCCCCCCCCCCCCCCCCCCCCCCAATGACAACAAACGCCTCCTTCAAGATTGCGTTCCCATTTCTGCCTTGTCAAATGGATTGACTCAAAACTATCCTAACTACGGCCGGAATGTCGTCGGAACCCATCACCGGTGATCACCGTTTTATCCTCTTCCTTCTACCTCTTCTTTGCTTCATAGTTCACTCTTCTTCCCAATCTGACCAACGTCAAATTCTTCTCAAATTCAAATCTACCCTCCAAAATTCAAACTCAGAAGTGTTTAATACATGGAATGGAAAAACACCCATCTGCAATTTCACAGGTATCGTCTGCAACTCCGATGATTTGGTGAAAGAAATCAATCTTTCGCAGCAACAACTCGCCGGAACTCTTCCGTTTGATTCAATATGTTCTCTGAAATCGCTACAGAAAATCTCCCTCGGAGCAAATCATTTGTATGGAACAATCAGCACCCATATATCAAATTGCACCAATTTGGAGTACCTTGATTTGGGGGATAATTCCTTCTCCGGCGAAGTCCCTGATTTATCTTCGTTAACCCAGCTCAAGTTCTTGAATTTAAACCTCAGTGGATTTTCAGGGTCGTTTCCATGGAAATCGATCAAAAATCATACGGGTCTCACTTTCTTGAGTTTAGGAGACAACCCTTTTGATAGAACTCCCTTCCCTTTGGAAATATTAAAGTTCCGGCAGCTATACTCTCTTTATCTTTCAAACTGTAGTATTGAAGGGAAAATCCCGGAAGAAATCGGAAACCTCAGTTTATTAGAAAGCCTTGAGATCTCCGATAGTTATCTCGTCGGAGAAATTCCGGTGGGAATCACGAAGCTAACGAAGCTTCAGATGCTTGAGCTCTACAACAATCAACTCTCCGGGATTCTTCCAGTTGGGTTAAGTAACCTCGTAAATCTTGCAGAGTTTGATGTTTCGACTAACAATCTTGAAGGTGATTTATCGGAGTTACGAAACTTGACAAAAATGGAATCTTTACAGTTGTTTGAAAACAATTTTTCGGGAAGAATTCCTGAAGAATTCGGAGAATTCAAGTTTTTAACGCAATTCTCAATCTACGATAACAAGTTCACTGGAGAACTCCCTGCAAAAATTGGTTCGTGGGCTGACTTTGAATACATCGACGTGTCACAGAACTTCTTGACTGGTCCAATTCCATCTGACATGTGCAAAATGGGAAAAATGGAGAAACTTCTGATGCTTGAAAACAACTTCACCGGCGGCTTTCCGGAGACTTATGCAGATTGTTCTTCCTTGCTTCGAATTAGAGTGAGCAATAATTCACTTTCCGGTAGAGTTCCTGATGGGATTTGGAGTTTGCCGAATATAGGTATGATTGATCTTGCAATTAATCAGTTTGAAGGTCAAGTCGCACCAAATATTGGTGAAGCAAAGTCGTTGACGCAGCTTTATCTAGCTAACAATCGGTTTTCCGGTCAACTGCCGGTGGAAATATCGAACGTTTCAACTCTGGTGGAAATTGAGCTGGTTTCAAATCAATTTTCCGGTGAAATTCCGTCAAGAATTGGTAACTTGAAGAAGCTAAGTAAACTTCATCTACAATATAACATCTTCTCTGGTGCTATTCCGGAGTCTTTGGGTTCATGTGTCTCTCTTGATGAAATAAACCTCGCCGGAAATTCATTCTCTGGTGAAATTCCGGCAACTCTTGGTTGTTTACCGACTTTGAACTCTCTAAACCTATCGGGTAACAAACTCTCCGGAATGATTCCGGCGAGGTTATCATCATTGAAGTTGAGCCTCATTGACTTGTCAAACAACATGTTGATTGGAAGAGTGCCGTCGGCTCTGTTATTGGTGGCTTACAATGGCAGTTTTGCCGGAAATCCAGGGTTATGTGCTGACGGAAGTAAAGATCTCCGGCAATGTTCACCGGTTTCCAACAACTCCGATCACTTAAAAGTGGCGGTATATTGCTTCATAGCCGGTGCACTTCTCCTGGTGTTGTCCTTATCATGTTTCCTGTTCATGAAGCTCCGGCAACATGACCACAAAGATCCAATCAACCGGGGTTATTCATGGGATGTAAAAAAGTTTCATGTTCTCAATATTAATGAGGATGAAATACTTAAATCTCTCAAACAAGAAAATATAATCGGGAAAGGCGGCTCCGGGAACGTCTACAAGGCGGTTTTGGGGGGCGGCGAACAACTCGCCGTGAAACACATGTGGAAGTTTGTACCGGATTCCGGTGGCCGGAGTAGTGCGGTGATATTACCGAAAGGGAAAAGCCGGTGGCCGGAGTATGAGGCGGAGGTGGCGGCTTTGAGTTCACTCCGACACATGAATGTGGTGAAATTGTATTGTTGTATCTCGAGTGAGGACTCGAATTTGTTGGTATATGAGTATATGCCAAATGGGAACTTGTGGGACCGGTTACATACATATAAGAAGATTGAAATGGATTGGAATGTACGATATGAGATCGCGATGGGGGCTGCAAGGGGGTTAGAGTACCTACATCATGCTTGTGATAGACCAGTGATACATCGGGATGTGAAATCGAGTAATATTTTGTTAGATGAGGAGATGAAGCCAAAAATAGCCGATTTTGGTCTAGCAAAAATTGTGCAAGCAGAAAAGGTTATGGATTCGACTCATGTTATTGCCGGAACACATGGTTACATCGCTCCTGGTAAGTTTTTTTTATATCTTTTATGTCATATATGTAATGTCATCCTCCTTTAATTTATTCCCATTACAACATTATGTTTTGAAATTACCCTGGTTATATAGCAATTTAATTAAATTACAAATCAATTTTTACTAATATTAAAAGATTGATGTTTCAATTTATAATGTTCTAATAAAAACAATTGAAAACACCATCTTAAAATTAGGTAGATTTTTCAAAACATAACGATTTAACTAGATTTTTTTTAAAATAAAATGTTTCTATCGAAATGAACGAAAATAGGATTATGTAGTACGTAAATAACTGAAAGTACATTGTTATTTATTGTATTTATTTTTCTTTTTTATGGTCAAATTGATTTCTTTAACATTTTCATTTATTTCTCTTCAAGAATATAGATACACTTGTGGACACAAGAGTCATGTATAGATTTTATGCAAGTAAAATGTATAATAATAAAAAAGTTGGATGTAATAATACACAAATAAATGAAAGCATATGACTACTTCTTGTCTTAATCCCTTATTACCAAATCGATTCATTTTCATATTTACGTTAATTTCTCCTGCAGAATATGGATACACATGTAACGTGACAGAGAAAAGTGATATCTATAGTTTTGGCGTTGTTCTCATGGAGTTAGTAACGGGTAAAAAGCCCGTGGAACCCGAATTTGGTGAAAACAAGGACATAGTTTATTGGGTTCATAATGAAATGAGAACAAAAGATAATTTGATCGGATTAGTGGACCCTAACATTTCAAAAGATGTGAAGGAAGAGGCTGTTAAAATGTTGAGCATTGCAGTTCATTGCACGATGAAGATACCGACATTGAGACCTTCAATGAGGATGGTGGTGAAAATGTTGGAAGAAATCGAGCCTAACTCGCTTATCAATGTAGTGATCGATAAAGTGGGCGAAAACGTCATTTCACAACATAAAAATTGAATTTTGTATATGTAAGAGTTAGAATGAACGATAAAACGGTGATCATAGACATGTATGATCACCGTTATTTTTTTTGCAGTTGTATTATATAGTCTTCTAGTAAATTTTCCCTCGTGTAAGTAATGTTATTTTCTTCTATAAGTAAGGTTATTTTCTTCTACAAAATAATGTAAACTCAAGCATAAATAACTACGACATCATTGTTTTGAAAAAATATTATTTATAATTGCTATTGTTAACTGAGGCATCAAAAAAATTTCTACTATGTATTTACTATAAAGAGTTAGTTTCAAGCAAAAAAAAACATGTACTTTTTTATCCGTTTTTGCCTGTAAGCGTTCAACTAATTCGATAGATAAAAAGTGATTAAAAACATCAAGTTGCTTTATCGCAATACTAAATATATACTATGACTTTTTTCAAAAACGGATAAAAAATGAGTTTTTTTTATTTTTTTATTTATGAGTTTTTTTTATTTTTTATTTTTTTATTTTAACCACCTTAGACAACCCAAGAAAAAAAAAGTTATTCTCCACTCAAGTCCCTACAATTTGACGTGGAATTAACCCTACTATAAAATCTGAGACATGCCAAAAGTATTGGGAAACCATGTATCGAATTAAACGTTAAGATCACTTAAAAGACCAATGATGATTGAATGATTACTATACTAAATTGCCAAAAGAAAGTCAAACAAAAATGTTTTTAGGTTCATAACATATCAAAACCTGTCACTATGTAGAATTGTAGATATGTCCACTTCTAAACTTCATTTTCTTGACAAATGAGGCTTTTTTTCAACGTAAGTTTGGTGGGAATTTAGATTCAAGCTTGATTCCAAAACATGGACAATTTAGTTAATTTAAACTCTTAACTTATTTTCAATGTATGCAAATATGGGGAAATTACTTGTATAAGAGGAAGTGCATTATTGAAAAAGTTAATAAAACAATTATAATTTATAATAATATCAAAATTCTAAATTGGGCTTCAAAAAGGTCTAACATTATCATTGCTCAAGAAAGTGAAACTGATTGGTGCCTTTAGCTATTTCAAAGGGTGGCCCGAATGATTGACCCCGAAAATACCATAATTACACTTTATAGCAAATGAACTTTGTGTGAAAGGAAAGTTGATACAAAGTCAATCATGAACATGTGAACTTGCAGCAATATAGGCCTACCACCACTTTACTTGAATTATCTTCCACCCCTTTAGGTAGTCATTTTATCTTCTAATATAAGTTAATTTCATCTTTCAAGCCATTTGAAAGTGAAGAATCTGAATTTCTTGTTGATTGTGCCCCTTTTAAGTTTGTTATCTTCTAGTAGTATATGTTTTAAAAACCGGTTTTTTAGTTGAACTGGTATGGTGACCGGTTCAATCGTTTCAACGAGTGGTTCAATCGGTAACCAAGAATTTTCATACATCTGGCGGTGGTATGCGTCGGCCTTCGAGTTGTATATACTTTTAAAGCATTCAATTTTCTTTGGAAATGAGTTGTTTTCTAATGGACTAAGTGAAATCCAACTATACAAGTCCAATAAACCGGTTCAAACGAGTTTTTACATGTTCAACCCGGTTTTAAAAAGAAACTGTCCGGTTTGATCCGGTCTAGAATTTGACATAAAACCAGTCGTTATTGAACCGTTCTATAAGGATATGATTTGTGAATCTCCAATAATCTGGAGTATTGTATATTGCACGATATATATAGTTTTACAGAGTACAAAATATCAAAATTTTAAATACAACAAGATAATCTTATCAAGTAGAGATAGATAAGTCCTTGGGTATTGATAAGATAGACTTATCGTTAATACCCCCCGTCAAGATGGAATGTGGTGGTCCAACACACAGCTTGGAGCGAAAGTATTCAAAGAGAGGACGAGGAAGGCTTTTGGTAAAAAGATCTGCCACCATCTGTGTAGTAGGAATGAACCGAGTGTGCAATTTGCCAGAAGTAACCAACTCTCTCACGAAATGATAATTAAGATCAATGTGTTTAGCACGTTTATGAGAAACTGGGTTTTGACTCAGAAAAATTGCACTCTTGTTGTCCGAATATAATAAAGGCAGTGAAGAAACAGGGATATGAAGCTCACGCAAGAGATGAGTAATCCAAATAACTTCAGATGTCGTGTTTGCCATAGCTCGATATTCGGACTCACAGGTCGAACGGGACACAGTAGGTTGCTTTTTAGCACTCTAAGAAACAAGATTACCACCAAGAAAGATCGAATAGCCATACGTGGAGCGTCTAGTGTCAGTGCATCGAGCCCAGTCTGCATCAGAGTAAGCAAAAAAAGGAATAGTGGGTGACCGCTTGTAAGTAAGACCATATGCCACAGTGCCCCTTACATACCATAAGATGCATTTTACAGCTTGGAAGTGAGCCATGGTTGGTGCATGCAGGAATTGACTGACCTGGTTGACAGCATAAGAAAGGCCAGGACGAGTAATCGTTAAATACTGCAAGGCACCAACCAAAGAGCAATAGAGAGTTGGATCATGAAATGGTTCTCCAGAAGCAATAAGTGGTTCAGATGTGGCAAGATGAGTGTAAACCGGTTTCCCATCCAATAAACCGGCACGAGCTAGTATATCCAGTGCATACTTTGTTTGAGTAAGAAATAATCCATCTGAAGTATAAAGCACTTCAAGACCCAAGAAATAGCTTAACCGCCCCAAATCTTTGATAGCAAATTCTTTATGAAGACGAGTAATAAATGTAGTAATAGTCTTGCTATTATTACCGGTGAGAATGATATCGTCGACATAAACCAGAAGAAAAAGAAGATGAGAACCTTGCTTAAGCATGAAGAGGGACGGATCAACACGACTACATGTGAACCCAACTTGAAGAAGAAAGGAGCTAAGACGTTGAAACCAAGCTCTTGGGGCTTGCTTCAAACCATACAAAGCCGTTTTGAGACGACATACATGAGTTGGATAGGTGGAATCAATGAACCTGGGAGGCTGCTCCATGAAAACGGTTTCGCTTAGGTGGCCATTGAGAAAGGCATTGTTGACATCAAGTTGGTGTAGAGGCCAGTTTTGATGTACAACAATAGATAAGATAATATGAACGGTGGAAGCTTTAACAACGGGACTGAAGGTGTGTGAAAAATCGATATCCGGAATTTTATTAAAGCCTTGAGCCACTAAGCAAGGTTTATATCGATCAATAGAACCGTCTGAGCGATACTTTGTGCGAAAGACCCATTTAGAACCGACAATGTTGGAGGTAGTGGTTCGAGGTACAAGATCCCACGTGTCATTATTTTTGAGTGCCTGAAGTTCATCGTGCATAGCCGCTAGCCACTTAGAGTGCTTAGCAACTGACTTAAATCCTTTAGGATCTTTATGAGTAAGGAGGGCAGCATGCAAAGTACTCGAGTTTAGAGATGTGAAACCCAGAAAGGGATGAGGCTTGGTGATACCAGCCTTGCTGCGAGTAAGCATGGGATGGGCTGATGTGGTTGGAATTGGAGGAGTACCTGGAGCGACATGAACCGGTGAAGCTGGATCCAGATCACGTACTAAGAGATGGGTTTGTGGCTGCTGAATGGGCTGTACCAGATCTGAAAATAGATGACACGCGCTGGAATGTGGACCCAGCGAAATAGGAGTGGATGGAGTGTCAAGGGGATCGGGCTGTAAGGTTAGCAGGGACACAGCAACAGGTTCGTCAAAAGTAGAGAGTAACAAGGTAGCATCAGCAAGCTGTGTAGTGTTCCTGGTAAAAGGAAATAATGTCTCATCAAATTTTGCATGACGAGCAGTATAAATTTTTGAGGTGGTCATGTCAAGGAAACGATAGCCTTTATATTGTGTACTGTAACCGATAAAAACACATGGGATGTTGCGTGGGGCCAACTTGTGATCCGAGTAGCTTCGTAAATAAGGGAACACACGACAACAAAAGGTACGAAAGACTTGAAAGTTTGATTGAGTGTGAAAGAGAAGCTCAAATGGTGATTTATTGTTTAAGACCGGAGACGGCAGTCGATTGATGATGTAGACAGCAGAACTAAATGCATCAACCCATAAGGAAGCTGAGGCACTTGCGTTAAAAAGCATTGCAAGCCCTGTTTCAGTAATGTGACAGTGCTTTCGTTTAGCCCTACCATTTTATTCCGGGGTGTAGGGACAGGAAACTCGATGATGAGTGTCGTTGGCAGAAAATATAGCTTGAACTTGATTATTAAGAAACTCTTTCCCACCATCACTCTGAAAAACCTTGAGCTTGCATGAGAATTGTGTTTGAACAAATAACATAAAATGTGTAAGAATGGAAGGGAATTCAGATTTTAGCTTCATAGGGTAAAACCAAGTAAACCTCGAGAAATCATCAACAAAAATAGCATAATACAGATAACCGTTAGTAGAAGCAATGGGTGTAGGGCCCCATAAGTCACAATGTATCATATCCAAAACATGTAAAGAGCGTTTTTCATTTATAGCAAATGGAAGCTTATGGCTTTTAGAGAGCTCACATGAGCAGCAAATACCAGGTTTGTGTAAAAGGGAAGTAACATATAAAGAACCATGTTTGTATAATAAAGAAATAACTGAAAAAGAAACATGTCCTAGTCTATTGTGCCAAATCTCGTATGACGCTCGCTACCGATTCTTAGTCAGTTGAGAAACCAAAGCTTTATGACCATGCTCGAGCACATATAGACCATGTTCAACCCTGCCTGTTGCTAGTACTTCCTTTGTTTGACGCTTCTGAATTGCAAATTTATGATTAGAGAATAAAACATCAACAGGAGAATCAGATGTTAACTTGCTTATAGAAAGTAAATTTTTATTCAAATTTGGAACCACAAGGACATCTGCTAGATTGATATCTTTAGTAATAGAAGCATTACCAATTCGTGAGATGTTTAGAATATTACCGTTTCCAAAGGCCACATGATTGTTTCCGGTATAAGAAGATGATGTGGTTAATTGTGAAGTCGAATGTGTCATATGAGCAGACTCCCCAGAGTCTACATACCAGTCTGAGGCAGGAATATCTTGGGTATTACACTTGGCAGAAAAGGCATGTGCTAAGTGTGCATCAATAGATGGTCCGCGGGTTGCAAATGAAGAGAGATCTGGGCATTGA